AACTGATAATCGTAGTATTAGAGTTTTGGATAGGCTGGTACACGCTCTGAGTAATAGCGAATGAGAGTTCCAGCTTCTATTAATCAGTAAATATTGCTACCTGCAGAACCAAATGTATTGAACCTGGATATCCACGACTTTGTTTATACGGAAATTATCATAAGAACTGATAATTTAGAAGGGACTTAATGAGTAAATCAGTCGGAATCTGAGGATTACTGACTTCTATTGCACCTTTCATGTTCGAAAGTTAGTTCATTATCGTTTATAGTTTTTCACTTGCTATAACTGTATCATTCGCCTACCTCTTATCCTGGCTGTTTCTTTGTAGTTGTTTCCACATCGTTCCTTTTTTAACCTTTAATTTGTATAACGATATTTCTGCATTGTGTATCTAGCTTGTTCAGCTTTAAAGCGCTATTGTAAAATCCTGCAATTTGAACCTTCTGTTCTATATAATAAAACTTTATTTTTTTGTCACACAATTTCTCATTTTAAGTGTGTTCTCGTCTACATTTCGTGACTCGTATTTTTAGCAGGTTTGGCTTTGTTTTGAATAGGTCTCTATTAATAACGTTATTAAATTCAGTTATAAGACTTATAAACTCTACCATATTTAATTTAAATTGTAATTAGCTTTTTTCTTCTTTCATGATTATTTCGTTCCCATTTTTGTTTCAGCTTTTTCTTATTGTTATTGGTCGTTGCTAATAGGTTTTAAACTCCTAAATGTTGGGTTAGTATTTATTGTAAGTACGTCGACCGATTGCCCATCTTGCAATCGCATCGTACATATTATGCGGGGCAGCTTTAGTGAGAACTATTACTAGTGTTATACCCAGCCGTAAACTATACTCGAGTAGAATCAAAATCAAATTTAGCGTTTCAGTACCACACTCTCAGGACCTCTCAGAGTTTCGCAGCTTATTATTTGCGAGCTAATATATCTAAAAGTATGTGGATATCCACTAAAGCACTCTGTTGGTAATAATGTCGTCTGCCAACTATTGGGCGAACATTTCTTGTTGCCGGGATACACGCTACTGAATGGAAAGGACTTAGCGACAATTTGCAAGGTAATTGCAATCCTCCGTAGGAAAAAAGATGGGGACTGGTACATTTACCCATAATTCTTAGCGCACAAAAACCTTAACAACGTTCATAAAAACGTACAGAAACGTTATAAAATCTTAAAACTTAGGCTACTCAATGTCCTTAGCACAGGGAAAAATATTGTAAAAATTTGGCTTTCTTTGTGCCTTATAGGTTGTGTTAGGTTCGCAATGCATTGTGGTAGAATGTACAGCCGCCATCGTTTTTCCTACGGTGGATTGTTGTTATCAATGGGTCCCTATCAGTGGTTGGTTGGTTGATTGGGTTCAGTGCATGATTTTCAAAGAAATCTCCATTTCGGTTCAAAACTCGCTGGGGGTGTTAAAGATTGTCAAAGAAAGCCGACTTCCTGGGTATTCTCCCTTTTATGTTTAGTAGACTCTAAAGCGCCAATTGATGAGAATTCCGCGAAGATTTTCTACACATCGAAGAAATATTTGCTCTCACAAATATACGAATAAAACCGGTCATAACGTCTTACATTTTTTAAGAACAGATCAATTTTGATGAAAGAGAAAAAAGGGAAACTCCGGCTTACAGAATACTTATAAACCTCACCTTGAAACCTTGTTCAAGGGGTAAAAAATGAGCTGAGAGTTGTTCTCTACTCATGTCAAATGATTTCCTTCTACGCATTCCACCTCCATGGACAGAAGTTCTGCAACCTCCAAATTCTGACTGATTTACTCTTTCAGTCTCTAACATTAAATTACAAGTCTTCCCGATTATTTCCGCTTCAAAGCCATCAACATTCAAGTTTACTGCAGCTTTTTTCATGTAGTCAAATTTACTGATCAGAAGCTGGAAGCCTCATTCGCTATTACTTGTATTTGCCAGCTTATCCAAAACTCTAAAAACATCAGGAACAGTCTCAAGGAAGATATAGACCTATCGTCCATAATTTGGCAATGCCATGTATGCCAGGGATTGCCCCTGGCAAACATTTGCTTGTCAGATAGTTAGCAAAATTTAGGGTTCCATATTTTCATGAGTTTGCAACGGAATTCTTACAAAACCTGGCATATTTAATTTACAAAATTCGACTTGATAAATCGAGGATTGAGGCTAAGTTTTGTTTAAATCAAAAAAAAAAAAAATCGGAAAAGGGTAATATCGGTAAAACGTTCCATTGCACATTTAGGTGTAAATTATAAAACTGTCATGTCGAATGCTAAATTTCAAGCCAATTTCAAAAGTTGAATTTTGGCAGATATTGAAAGCCATTTATTCTCCTCCAAGAGAGCAATTTTCTAGTAGATAAATGGGTTATTTTAGAGAAATTTATGTCATGGTAACTGATATTGGTAAGGTGACAAAGTTGGTTGCTCAAATAGCGAAATCCCTAAACGAAGAAATGGAGAGAAAATTTCAAGTGAAGTGTATAGTTTGAGAGAAAATTTGCTTGGATATTTATCAGCCTCTTCCAGGCGTTCAGTTAGTTGGGGCGCAGCGCGAAAAACCGCTAGCGAAAAAAATAGAGGAAGAAGCTTCTCTCGCTGCACTTCTCCTCTATTTTTTCGCTGGCCGTTTTTCGCGTGCGCCCCAGCTAACTAAACGCCTGGAAGAGGCTAGATATTCATAACAATGCAATAGAATTAAACAGCAGTATGTTGTAGAAACGAAATCCTTTTTCTCGCTGAAAATATAGTAGTTTTTCCAGCGAGTTTTCCCCCAAGGAAAATAGTGAGTTTATTCCTCCGAGACCCTCAGTGTTCCGAGAGGAACATTGAAGGTCGAGGGGAAACAAATCTCATCGTTTCCCATAGGGCCAGTCATCAAGTGTTTTGTTATACCTCCTAAATCAAAAAAGCAGAAAAAAACTTCGAAAAACATATTTGCTTGATGCTGGCTGGCACACAAATTTGCCGTGGTTTCAAGGTGTACGACCTGAGTCGAAAGTTCAAGTTGTTGTTTCCCGAGGATGTTAGTGAGGTTTGACCCATGACCATTTCATGACACGTAACACGTTCTCCTTCAATTCTCTAGTTTCCAATTGCCCAAAATTCACTCTGTTTGCCCCCCAAATTTTGCATAAACTATTGTTTTGAAATGCTCTTGGGAATACGCAGGCCTCCCAAGAGTATTTCATAATAATAGTTTATGCAGCTAAACTCCAGAATACCCCACCACTTATTAGCATCCCCCGTTTATGCAAAATTTGGGGGGCAAACAGAGTGAATTATGGGCAACTGGAAAATAGAGAATCGCAAAACGTATATGAGTTGGGAGCTAGGTATAACAACAAGGTTTGTTTCACCTACAAGCTTCTATAGCCCGGTCCTCAGTAGCACTTAGGTAAATCAAGGGCACGACGAAGAACTAAAGATAAATTCGAGCACCGATCAGGAGCTAATTTCTTGTCTGTTGAAACCTTTTAATGTTTCAGCATTCAATGTGAAGGTGAAATGGGGGTGTGTCTAAGAAAACACCTATTAATAAAATATTTTGACTGCGAACGTCCTTCGCAGCCCCTATCTACATTGCTTCACGACCCAGGAAAGGTGATAAAGGAAAGATTTTCTCTATAATTATGATATGACAATGACAATGACAAAAAGTGGTACAATAATATTTCTGAGCTGCATGTTTTGGCAAGGCGATATCGTGGTCAGACACGAACGCATTGCGGACCCACGTTGTAGTCAGCCATCGGGATCGGTCGGGATCGGTCGGGATGGTTTTGGTTTATCCACGTGACTCGTCACGCCCGTCACGGATTGTTGTTGCTTCAAAGCTGCACGATTGCTGCCTGAAACCGAGTAGAGCGAAGGTGCTAGTCAGAATGTCAGGCTCTCGTGACCAGCTTGTTCTGGAAGAAGAGGAAGAAATCGATTTAAGATGCTCTGAGGGCAGTCTTAAAGACAAAATGACTATTACAGCGATTGGAAAGGTGAATCAAATTTGTAATTGCCACTAAGCTTATATCTAGCCATAGATACCAGCTACATGCAATATGCAGGTATCGGTGGAAGCGCGATTGTTTACAAGGATTTGTAACCTAACGTAACTTAGCTCTGTCGTTGGGTCTTTTGTAGCCATGTAGGTCGATGTATGTGCTGTTTCGATTGCCATAATTATATTGCATAACCATTATTACAATTGAATGTTTGCAATTTTCTAACTTTAACACTTTAGAATGAAAATAAGCGACATGAAAGTAGAACGACGTTTTGATGACTCCATGTCATCATTATCAAGTTCGAAAGGTACATCATAGAACTGAACAAATATAAATAGTAAAAATGGTGGGAAAATATTTACGGAATTAAAAGGGTGTTACAGCGGCTATCAATCACAAGCGACCTTCAGCGCAAAAAAAGTCTAGACACCACCTAAGTTTTGGTGGACGTCAATCATCTCCGCCTCCTTGCTGACTGTATGCAAAATTTACCTGAAAGTGAAACCCTTCAGCGGTCCACTTGTAAAAATTATCATTTTACTTGCGGTATGTACGGCTACCTCACTAACTACATCCTTGAAATCTATAAATGAAAACCTTTGTCGGGTTTTTCAACGGCCATTTGCATGCATGAATGACCCCGAGAGCAAGCAAATCTACACACAAACAAATTATTTCTGCACGTATTTTCCTTGGGGCAACAGACTGAACAATACTTAATTCTATAAAACTTATAACTTGTTACCTTACAAAATTATAAGGTTTATAAGACGTTTAAGTCTTGTTCAGTCCATAGCCCCAAGACAAATACAAGAAACATTCCAGTATAAATGGAAAGGCCAGTGCAGTCGAAGACATTTTATTATCCAAACTTCCACTTCCCACCTTCAGCCCCCTCTTCCCCTGCCTCCCATAGTCAGAGTTCCCTGCTCCCTTATCCCACCCTCCGGACACTACCCCGATGCCTCACTCTACTTGGGAATGTACAAGCTTGCGATGCTTCATACAGGAAATATTTGCTATATATTCTAAATGTCGTGATACCAGATGTTTGCTGTCTACATATAGAATGCAAGACTGAAAATCAAACATTCCACTTTCACAGCAAATAAAGTTAATTTAATTTTTTTTGGAAAGTGAAGGGCAATGGTACTTCAGTTTCAGAAGAAAGCTGATTGTTTAAAGGCACATAATTTATTTAGGTCAAAGAAATTAGACATTTCTTCCTATGCAAGTTTGAGTTGAAAAGTGTGAAAAAGTGCAATAGCTATATTTGACATGAAAATATTATAGTTTCATAAAGAATGCTTAAGAGTCACTGACCGGAAATGTTGAGAATGGCTGGCCAGGTTCGAAAAATCGAAAGTCCTGAAACTTTACCTGAAGAACGCTTTTAGGGAGCTACTTTCGAAAATATCATTCTGATTTTCTTAGAATTTTAAGACTTTGAGAAATTCGCGAAAAACGAAAATACAGCTTTTTGCCTTAATTATTAAATATGCAAAAAGTATCTGGAAAATTGACAAAGTTCTCGGTTTTGCATCGAAACAGTTTACAGAACTAGAACACGGGGTAAACTTAGCATAAGAGCTTTACCTTTTTGAGTTATTTTTGGTAAAAAAAATACCTCTCAGTCGGCGTGTTGGGTATGTTATGGACGGGCCAAT